GGGGGAGAGGGGGGGAGGGAGAGAGAGAGAGAGAGAGACAAAAACAGAGAGATGGGGAGAGACAGAAAGTGAGAGTGAGAGAGCGTGAGAAAAGGGGAGACAGGGAGAGGGACAGAACGAGAAAGATAGAGGGTAGCAAGAGGTGGGAGTGGGGAGGACGAGAGAGAGAGAGAGAGATAGACAGATGAGTGGGATGTCGTTGTTCAGCAGTTCCAACCCTGTCTCCCATCTCCTGCTGTCCTCCCTGCCCCTACCCCTCACACCATCTCCACTTGCCCCTTCCTCCCTCCATCATCTGTCCCCCACACCCCCTTCCCTGCCTCCATCTCTCCTCATTGCCCTCCCACCATTTCCCTTCTCCTTCCACTTCTGCTCATTGCCCTGACACCGTCTCCCCTCAACCCCCTCCTTCTCCCTGCCCCCTCCATCTCCCCTCGTTGCTCTCACACCATCAATCCTTTTCCCTCTCTCTGTGTCTCCTCTCGACTCCTTCTGTCCCCATTCTCCACGGTTCTTCCCCTCCCCCTCAGCACACCTCCTCCCCCTTACTCGCCCTCCTTTCCGAACGCCAGTCACCGTGACCTTCTCCCGAGTCTGGCGCGGTACCTTCGGCTCCTCGTGATTGGTTCGGGTGGGCCGGGGATTGTTGCTTTGCGGACCACCACTGGACGGAGGGGCCAGCCTCACCCCATCGGGCTGAAGGTCACACACGTTGTGTCGGGAGCTGGGAACGGACAGAGGGGTTAAGGATGTGGCTGTTCAAAAAACTTACGCTTCCTGACTGCGCACCCCCACCCCCCCCAAAAACCCCGAATCTGACCATCCCGGGTAAACGTTGGCACTTCGCGCAGCGGGCAATGGCTAGCACACGACCTCCTCCTCAAACGTCTCAAATTAAACCTGTTCACACTACGCTGGGAGTAATGCGGGGTGCCCCGGTACCGTACAGGCCTCACCGGGAGTAACGTGGGCCCCCCGGTGCTGTACAGGCCTCACCGGGAGTAATGCGGGGTCCCTGGAGTCGTACAGCCCTCACCGGGAGTAACGCGGGGCCCCCTGGAGCCATACGGGCCTCACCAGGAGTAATGCGGGGCCTGCTGGAGCCATACAGGCCTCACCGGGAGTAACGTGGGGCCCCCCGGCGCTGTACAGGCTTCACCGGGAGTAACGTGGGGTCCCCGGAGCCGTACAGGCCTTACCGGGAGAAACGTGGGGCCCCCCGGTGCTGTACGGGCCTCACCGGGAGTAACATGGGGTCCCTGGAGCCGTACAGTCCTCACCGCGAGTAGCGGGGGGCCCTGGCTCCATATGGGCTTCACCGGGAGTAACGTGGGACCCCTCGACATGCAGGCAGGGTGTATTGGTGGTAGCAGTGGTTTAACCAGAAGATCACCAGGCCTCTGGTGAGGCGAGAGGTTCAGAAAAAGTGACAACATGGTAACCTGAGCCTGTTGAACCCAGGGCGTTGTCACTCTGCATCGCAAACTGGCCGCCGAGCCAACTGAGCTAACCATATACCTCCTCCCCCACTGCACAGGTTACAGAGATAGGGAGGGTGTGTAGGGGCCTGGAGGAGGTGACAGAGATAGGGAGGGTGTGTAGGGGGCTGGAAGAGGTTACAGAGATAGGGAGTGGGGTGTAGGGGGCTGGAGGAGGTTACAGAGATAGGGAGGGTGTGTAGGGAGCTGGAGGAGGTGACAGAGATAAGGAGGGGGTGTAGAGAGCTGGAGGGGGTTTATCAGGCCGCTGGGTCAGGGTGCTGGGATAGCTTCGAGGATGAATAAGTCCGGTTGCAAGAAACAGTCTGGGATCAAATCACATACAATCTATTTGAAGAGAGAAAAGAAACAACGGTGGTGTAGTGGGACAGAGAATAAATCAGGAGATAACGACAATCTGTAAGCCAGCAGTCCGTTAATGGTGGGGGAATTCACTCAGATTGGCTGAACGTAACAGCTAGGAAAGATTCATTGTGTGCTCTCTCTCTCTCTGATCCCAACTCGCACACACTCCGTTCAATGAACTATTTCATTGCTTTGCGACTTGTAGTCTAAAGTTTGTTTACACTGTTTGTTAAACATTACTTCTTTGAAGTTTGCTCACTGCCCTGATCCCACCCCATCCTTACCGACAGAAAAGAATTAACAGAGGCCATCCATGGGAAACGATGAGGCTTTGTAACATTCCAGCAACTGGCACTGACTGGCACTGAGCCCCCTCGTTTATCAGGCACTGACTGGCACTGCATTTCCTGCGCCCCCTTCAGCAGAAACTGACTGGCACTACATTTCCCCCC